CACTTACTGGCTTTTGCAGAATATATAATTTTATTATTTTAGAGACACAAAATTCAAACTATTCCCTAAATTAAGGCTAATGAATATTTATTTTATCAATTAGGAATTAATAGGTCAGTCAGTTAATATTCAATATTCACAATGGAACAAGAAATCAATAATGAATTATAGTAGGAAAAATATTAAGGGCCATAGATGATTCTTATTGTCATTTACTCATAATTCAAATGTGGTTATAAGTATAAAATGGCTTAAAAACATAAAATATGCTCGAATCTAAATCATACACTGACACATTGAGGAAAACTTGTTTACTATAATTACAGTTTAAAGACTTAAACTGTGCTATAGCCAATATGTGTACATACATTAAACAATAACAGACTATGAGAATCACAAACAATAAACAAATCATTATTATCTGTCCTAGATTAATTATAATAAAATATATAAAAGTAATGAATTATCATTTTTCTTTTCGTATAAAAAAATATCTAATAGCATTATTAATATTCCCTTTAATTACTACTGGTAAGCTGAAGTGCTTGTGTTAGGAGTGGTTCACAACAGTAGTCAAAAGGCAGATTCGAACCCACGACCTTTTGAGTTTGCAGTCCCCACCCTGCTGCTATAAGGCTACTGTCGTATCATTAAATTATTCATTTTTAATTGTTCATAGGCACGACAAGAGACAAACTTAACAAAAAATGTTGCCAGCATGCAACATATTTTATCAATCAATTATTTGGCTATGAAGAATAGAAAATTATACTATTATATTTAAATAAAAAGAAATGCTTTACACTTTATTATATTGTTGACTAAAAGGTTGGTAAAAGGTTAAAAAATGTAAGCCTACTATTAGAGTCAGCGTAACTCTTGTAAAATTATAATATATAATACTGGATGACCTTTTTTACCCTCTGGAAAAAATAACAATGTAAATGGAGTAGAAGCCTATGGCACTGATATTTTATAAAAAAATAAAAACGAAAATTTGAATGAAATAAATAAATAAATTAAAATCTATCAAAATTCAAATCATCCCCATCTAGCCTGTGACCTTGTGAAGTGACAGATGCGTACTAAATTTAATGTTTAATTGCCATTCCTAAAGTAGGGTGGATATGATTTGAATTTTAATAGATTTTAATTTATTTATTTATTTAAATCAAAATTTCTGTTTTTTATTTTTTGTAAAATATCAGTGCCATAGGTTTCTAGGTACTCGGTTCACATGTTCCGCCCTACTTTTTTCCAGACAGTAAAAAAGATCATCTAATATATATATATATATATATATATATATATATATATATATATATATATATATATATATATATATATATGACACCAAACATAATTGTAATTCTATATGTATATAGTTAAAACTTTGTAAGCCCATATGAACACAAAAGAAACACCCAGTTTAAAAATAGCCTGAATACAAATGTTATCAACTGCTACCACATTAAGCCACTAGATGCAATAGCAAGCAACTCTAAATGTGTATATCATAGGCTCAGTTGGTTACAATGTAACATGTCATATATTTATAAAATATCTATGGTTAAAAATTAATGATTTAGAATGCATATTTACATTCCCATAATTATTTTAACAACTACCATATCATTCATAATGTGTTCTCATAACACACCAAAATTACACATGTAAAGAAAGCTAGCCAGGTGTAATATGAATATACTAGCTGATCTCCAGGACATGGCTTGTGTGTAATTTAGGGTTTTAATTTTTTTTTATTTGCAACTCTATTTCTTTTTCTAATGTAAAGTAGGTAAGTACCTTAGTTACTGCTTATAACATCAGTTACCTGCCAGTAAAAGTCGCGTCAAAATCAGTCCAGCAGTTTCAGTCGGAATGCTAGCCGAATAAACAGACAGACCGACAATATTTTTAATAATTATCTTTTTCTTATAAGTACTGTATATACTTTCATATGCATTTAGTAAAAAGCTGTTATTTTGACATTACAAACACTTCAAATTTATTTATTTATATAGATATAGATATTTATAGCTGCACCAGCAGACGTCATTCTTCCCTTTATAGTTGATTAGGTGTATGAGTTTCATTTTCACACACACTTTTCTTACAATTATTATAATAAAATATAAAGACAAACATAACCCTTCTTTTTTAATCTTCCCTAAGCAGATAAGAAGTTGTATATATGTTATATGCCATTGTACAGTAGTATTTGCGTGAATCATGAACAAATAATTTTTCTACAGGTTTTTATGTATAAGATAAGATGATCATGATTTTAACTGTTAAATAAGGTAACTACGTGTATGAAAATGTTTAGCACATAATCATCATAAACTCATCCCGGGATCGCTCCCAGAAGTTGCTTGCAACATCAAGGGACTGCTGAGCTTCTTCAGGGAGATATCATGGCTCGAATAAGCATATTATGCCTGCCCACACGCAAAATACGCGCTTAGACGTGGAGTTGCGGAAAACAGCCCGTCGTAAACTAAACTAAAAAATCATAAACTCATAAAAGACTATAAGCGGCCAGAAGCCTCTCCCATGAAGTAGGATTTGCCTTTACTGCCATGCTTTGTAGTTTGATTAGCAATTGCAGTACGAGGGATCTTGCACTTTTGATGCTGCACCCTCTCTAAGCCCTATGTCTGTTGCCAGTCTGGGTTGAAACAGTCTATGAAAACGGGTGTTGTAAGTTTGTAGTGTGTATCTGTTTGTCTGTCCATGGCATCGTAGCTCCTGAACGGATGAACTGATCTTGATTAAGTTCTTTTGGTTGGAAGGTGTCTTAATCGCAAGTGTTCTTAGCTATGTTTCAAGAAAATCTGTTCATCCATTTTGTTTTGGAGGTTTTTTAATTTTTTATTTAAGTACAAATATTATATACAGTGTTTATGGTTTATAGTTATGCACACATATCACAGTAACAAAAGATAAATCATATGTAATAAAATCCTTAAAACTAATTTTATTCCATGATAATGAGTTTAAATTTTAGTTCAGTTTTCAGTTTCAATCTTTAGAATTGGATTGATAAAATTATTAAAATGTAATTTCAAAACGATTCCTACTTCCAATAAATTATTATCACTAACATTATACACATATATTATGAGGATATGTATAATCAAATATTGTTAGGATATGTGCTCACTGTTTCCTGTGTGATCATTTCCAACTAAGGAATAACTCACACTGCCCTACTGTTAACATGAATAGATAATGAACAGGAAATGAAACATTTGGTTGTCTTATCAATCTCTAATGTGCAACACACTGCGCTAGCTTGTAGGAGTCAGATAATCACAGGGTGAATGAGTGTAAGAATAATTAATCAATGTGATTCTCATAAAAGTCAATCTGTAATAAATTTACCAAATTGATTAGTATTTGGCCAATAAAAAGTTAACATTTGCATATTTCAAAGTAGTACTAACAAACTAAATTTTATTAAATTGTGATAACTTACAAAATATTAATATTGTAACTGTTCTAAGTGAAGACCTTCAATGACTAGAAGTCTAGATAATTGGGTTTTGACCACCCTTTCACATATTCTTGCTAGCTACAAACAGTCCACCTATTGCTGTATTCCAGATTGAACGGTAAAACAGCCAGGTACAAATTTTAGACATTTAGAATATTTATAAATGAATTGAAAATGACACTTGGCTCTCTTAGAAGTGGATGCAGGTATCCAAGGGCAGGAAGTCACTTACATGAGGTGAACAATTGTTAATTCATTTGTCACTCTAAACTATTAAAAAAAATGTATTATTGAAATGTTGACTTTCCTGCAAGTGGCTTGGGATGGTGTTTTGTGGCAGTCTATGGGGGAGGCTTATGTTCAAAATAGGACTTGTAATTGACTGTAGTAGAAGTTAAATTTCAGATTTTACTACAGCACTACTACTTTAAATAGTTAAAAAGCATATTTATTAAAAGTTTGATAATCATGCCTTAATTATGAAGTTTTAGTAACAACAATAAGTAAATAATTAATTAATAATAAAAGGTGGGATTTTTTACATGTAACCATAAAAAAATAATTCCTATATACTTGAAATACTAGAAAAGTTGCAAGTTTATATACAAAATTTACCTTTTTACTAAAAGTAAAATAAATTTAAAAATATATTGTTATATATGTATATAACTATCTAAACAGAAATAAATATTTAAAATGCACATCATACAGTAAGCAAAGCTGATGGTGCTGGTGGCGTTTTGCTGCAATCTATGAGGGAGCCCTATTTAATTTGTGATGAACTGAAATAATGATTATAATTGCTGTAAAGGGATAAAAAAATTGTATGCCATCTATATCTTATATTCATTTCTAAATATCATTAAATTCATAGTATTATTTAATTATCTGAACAATAATGTTTCAAGCATGTGAATCAGGTATAATCTGTTAGTTATATCTACAAAATGATTGAATTACGAATCTAAGCTTTAACAAGTTTTTTTTTAAATTAATGTTGTTGTGTTCACATCCAAATGGTACACAAAGTATGATTTTAAGCAATTTGGGTGCACAATAAAAACAAAATTCAAATTATAAATGTTTTATTTGATCTTCTGTCCACTTCTATATAAATCTTGTAGCCAGTCTATAATAGGACACAACTAGACCTAGTTTTTCTACTATTGTAGAAAGGTATTCTATAACTACAATGTTTAAGTTTAACAGGCCGATTTAATAAGTCAAAAAGTATAAAAAATATTTATGATAAAGAAAAAAAAGTACAAAACCTATTTTAGACGAGAGGAATTCTGCACAAATTTCAATTTCATTCATAACGCAAATTGTAACGAATCTTTGATTTCAATTTATATAATAGTATAAGCAAATTGTAAGTAAGGAAAAATAATTCGATAATTTTATAAAATTGTTGGAAAAGCGAAACGCAAATAATGGTTACAGCGTAAACAAAAATTACGGTGTTTGTAAACAAAGATGCCGGTAGCAAATGTTAACTCACCAGCACTTTTATGAAACGGCTCTCTAGCTCATCTCGGTCCGGCATTGGAGGCTTAGTACGGTTCCTCGTCGACGGCTGCCGTACATGGTGACTCTTCGTGGGCGCGACTGGTCCGTCAAGCATTGTCTGCTCCCTCGAAGTAATTAAACCCATTTTACACTGATCACTTAAACAACCACTGAATACATACTCCATCAGGTCATTTTATATCACAGAAAATCACTAAATCACAGTGATTAATATATCAAGTCACATTAGGCGGTGTAGGGGCCTTGATATGTTTCGACTACTACGAACTGTAAACGAACGAAAGCAAAAAAGCGAGACAAGACACGACCGCGATGTTTAATATTGAAGTGAAGTTTGTTTGTAGAGCCAGTGTTGCCAATGTTTAAAATTTTCTCCCCTAAATGTGACATTAAGATTAATGGTCGCCACACACAGTCAGTTTGTGGCCGTGGAAGGAAAAGGGGAGATCTCCCGCCGGGCAAGGTGTTCTGCCCGGGGAGCGGCCAACACTCCGTGTGATAGTTCGGAGATGTTCTATATATGCTGTTTATGATTCGGAATGTTAATAGCGTGATTTAAGCTTCGGTGTGTTTCGCTTGCGGCGCGACGACAGCGCCACCAGAAATTCAACTGATCATTCCAACTGATTAGTTCAAACTAAAACTGTTGATATTTTTTAAAATAGTGGATTTTTGATTTACCAAACCTTACAAATATATCAATATCGAAGTTTTGTATATAAGTTTAATTATCAGTATATAGTTATAGGTTTTAGTTTGAACTGATCAGTTGAACTGACCGTGTGTGTCGTCCATAAGAGCTCTTACTATAATATTTATAAAACAATGTTTTAGTTATATATATATATATCCAGCGATTTTCATAAAATTTTGTGTGCAGGGAGTTTCGGGGGCAATACATCGATCTAGCTAGGATTTATTTTTAGAAAATGTCTTTTTGTCCGTGTTTTTAGGCAATGAAAAACTGCTACAATATCGTTAGAATAAGAAGGTAAATTTTGACAGTTTATTAATGATTACAAATAGCTTAATTGGTATATTGGGCGGTCACAAAATCGTAATACCATGGTTCGAGCCCAGATCGACCCACCGACTTTTTTAATTTTTTTTCAAGTTCCTTTCTTTTTGTGAAAATCTATTTTTTCGAGCCCTTTTTTTAGTATTTTTTAGACACGAAAATTTAAATTAAACTAATTGCACTCATGATTTTTTATTCAAATAACCAGTTCAGTTTTTTCTATTATGTCGCTACGATCAAAAAATATTATGTAGTAGTTATCGTATTTCATCACTATGTAATTTGTATCTAAATATAATTTCCAAAACACACGAATTAAAAAAACCGAGCGAAAAATACCGAGCAAAGCTCGGTCAACCGGGTACTAAAATTTTTATAGACATTAATTCTATATATCCATCTAGTAATTCAGAAAATAAATAGTTGTTTAAATAGCAATTCGAGTTTTAATTTAAAGAATGTAATTACCTTGTTGTTATGATTAATTTTCCCTATATCATGTAAGGCATTTAATACTATAATTGGAAATCATCTTCACTAGATTGCGGATTATTTTTTAACGTTTTTTCAAATCTCCAATAAAGCTTCTATATAATCTTTTTTCGAACCTTAACTCTGCTACTATTATTTTACCTCTAAATTTAGGGGAAACCTCTAAGCTGGCTTCACTCATAGACGCCATTTGCCCTTCATTTGTCGCATACAAATGACAGCTTGCGAACCAATCAGATTGTTGTCGTTCGGATACTTGCATTGTGACGCATCAACATAAAGTGTAGAAGTTTTTGAACAATGTAATTACAAAATATTTCACACCGACAAAAGTAGAACCATAAAGCATTACTAAAGAAAATAAAATAAATTCTTCTACTGTTAAATGGTAATTCATCGGTGGAAAGCCAATTACGATGGGACTGATGATGAGACAAGAAAGTAATATATAGGTAGTGAGTCCTCACATGGAAAGAAATTATAAGACAAATGAAATTCTCAAACTTGTCAACATAATAGTACCTACATTAACAGAATAATTTATTATTCAAGTAAATATTTATTTGTTTCTATAGTCAATACAATATTTACACAGCATCGCTGTGTATGCAGCGAACGGCTGCTCTTACTGGCTGCTGTATGCTCAGATACCAAGCTTGTAAATGTTGGTGTTCAACAAGGCTGCGTGCTCTCGACCAACTACCCAATCATTTCTGTTGCCAATTGCTAGCATTCCTTGTAATGCAGGTGACTGGACTGGTAATGCTCTATAACAGCACCCATGGTCACGGGGGGGGGGGGGGGGTAAAACTACACGGTGGGCGGCGAATAATAATTTAAATTTGGAGGTAGCCGTGGTATACTGTGACATCGGGACGTCGAACACCTGCCCTCCCCCCCCCCCCGACCATGGGTGCTGTAAAGTGCTCGAAACGTCCGGACTACCAAATAAATATACGCGATAACATCCGCAAAAATGTGTAGTGTTCGCGTACATATAAGAAATCATTAGACATCTGTTTGTTCGTTTACTGCAGAGAGAAAACCCGTTGTCATCTATTTTGAGGGCACTTACCTTGTTTTTTTGGCCAGTAGCAAAACCCTCGATGTTGACATTTCAAGTAACGTATAGTTCCGCAGTCACTTAGAAGTTTAGTTCAAATTGGCTTTGAAAAAGCTCGGCGTGCTCAGTAAATCGTAAATCGTAATATAAATACCGCACATGAAACTGCTCTCGTCTCTAGGCTGGCGCATTCTAATACCAGCTCCTACCTTTTGAGCGCATTCAACGGAGGGTGGCTGGAATAGCCTAGTTAAGAGTGTTTTGCATTATCACTCTATCGCATATACCACTGTGAGTCCGAGGAAATATTTCATTTTAGTACATAAGTACCATTGTAGTACATTCCGACAGAACTTTTTGATTTCATACTCATCATCTCGATGATTGGCAGCTGTTCCACGCAAGACCACATTGTGAAATTTAAAGATAAGAGTCTATTTCTTTCTAAAGGCCGTTGTTGCTGATGTTCATTGACCGTGATGATTACTCATCATATTTAGCTGACAATTTTAATATATTATCAGTGTGTACAAAGTTTATTTTTAGACTTGTGGATCACTTCGACATATTAACTTTGATTAGATATTAAATTTAGGTCATTAAGGACCAGCTCTCACAGAGGGCACGGCATGGCACGGAGTGACAAGAGATTTTTTTCGGGGAAAAAAGATTTTCGACGTAATTTTAATGATCTTAGTACTGCCATTCCTTTATTTCTACACGAATAGATTGAAGCCTCTCATCTCTCTCATGGTATTCCAAGGGATGCTGCGGTACGCCGATGCATCACGTGAAACGCCTAAGTTACTTTATGTTGTTAGGGAATGTGAGTGCTAAATAATTGAAACAAGGCAGCATTTAGCCCGATGCGGCGGCGATCTCAGCGCCTTGCGCGAGCGCCCGATACACGAGCGTGTCTTGACTTGTTTGGCATGCCGCGGAATGCCACAGGATCCACGCCGTGACATGCCGTGCCGTCTGTGAGCGCAGGCTCCAAATAAAGTCTGAAGGTTTCTGATGTATTTCTACTAAAGCATTAATTCGATTATTATGAATGATAATATTGTTACGAGCTTGAGGTTCGTGACAATATAAATTTCCGATTGAATTACCAAAATTTACACTTCTATTACCGAACACTAATTAAAACTTAAAAGACACTAATAATTAATCACACTGATTCACTTTATTTCACTCCGAAGCTTCGCTTATATCGCCAAATTCAACTGCCAGGATCGCGGCTATCAACGGCTTTATATAGGGGTCTTCCATCGAAACATCCAGCAAATACGGGCGCCGACCGAACAGGTACAGAAAGTTCGAGAGTGGATGGAACCTTCTAGAAACCTTAATTCTTCTGTTCGATACTAGATGGCGCTGTTGGTGGAAAGTTCATGATTGGCATTTTCTAGGAAGCCCTCCTCGCTCTGTTCCCTGACACTACATGGCGCTAGTGCCAGTTACCAAACATCAACTTAGGCACGCAATAATATATTAATATTGTCAAATATGGAACATTGTTTTTGGCAAAAATACTCGTTGCATAATATTATGTTGATAAAGGCATAGTTCATCATTTGATGAAATATGCTAACTTAAGTCTGGTAACTCTAATACCGTGGTTAAGAATTTATTTATATTATCGGCGTTAATTTAAGTATTTGAGAAATTCATTGCGAATCAGATGATTTCTTTTGTAACGTTCAAAAATGGTCATTCCCAGTGGTCTTATTAGAAATACTACTGGCAGCACCTAAACTGGTGGAGGTGCAGCCTCCCAAGATGATTCCCGTGCAATGAGGGTCACCTAGAAACCCGTAGACCTAAAAAGGGGTCAAGGAGAAGAAACATAACTACTTGAAAATAAAACTATTTATATTGGTAATCTTCTTACCAGAAGTCTTGGTGGTAAGACTAATGGGAATTGCTTATCACTTTGGATTTACTAATATAGGAACATGCTTAATGCAATATATTTATAGTGCTTAGGATTCAGAGAATGCGACTAGAGTATTCTGTGACACACAACCTTACTTAATAAAATAAAATATTGTGGCATACATTGACAAGTTCTTCGTTTTTTGGATTCCTATCTTAGTATTAGGATTCAAAAGTTAAGTTAAATTCTCCATAGAGGAGAAACTTATATCTTAAACGAAAATAAACTAAGCCAGTGTACTAATTGTATCGTGTACCTCTTGATGCTTCTTGATACGTAATTCCATAAGGTCCTGCTGGATCGACATTTTACTCATGTCATTGAAACAGAATTTTTACGACAACGCCGGTGCACCTATGGTTTCACCTCTGGTAAGAATGCCATGCGAGCATACAGTCCTTTTGAAGGCAATTAGCCGCTGGAACCCCTTATATACGTAACCTCTAGCCTCTACTATATTGCATTGTCAAACTTGAAGATGGACTGCCCCTCCGCTGCACTGCACTCACCTTACAATAATAAGCTGTTGAAAGAAAGAAAGAAAGAAAAAACATTTATTCACGGTCTAATCACAATAGATACAAAACAAAGCAAGAAATTGGAATTAAACAG